TGTTTCATTCCATTCTATCATGTTATCAGTATTTAAAAAAAGTTTAACTAGTGGTTCTTTAATAAATGAGAATAAGAGTTTAGTTGAAATGGATAAAAATTTTTACTATTCATAATAAATTAATACATGCCCAAAATTAGTAAAAAACAAGTTCTTACTTATTTTTACTTAAAATAAATCAATCCTAATTGTATTAACATCAAATATTATTTAATATATTTTTAAAGTATAATTAAAACATTTAATTAAAAAACATGGAATCTTTCATAAAAAACAGTTTAAAATTTTAGAATGTTATTTTAATAACTCATCTTAACAATAGTTTTCTTCTTCCAAAATAATCTCCATGTAAGAAATATAGTAGTAAGATAAAGTATAAAACAGCCCATAAATATAAATTCTATTCCAATCTTTTTACCTGAAGGAGAAAAATTTTCCTTATTATCATCTTTTAAAAGCTGTTTAAAGCGATTAAATAAATCATCTTTTTCATAATAAATAGTTGAAATAAAAAGACTTAAAATAATACTATAAAAAATAGATAGAATTATATTAATTAGAATATCTCGAACAAACTTCTGAAATAACACCTAATTTGTAGAAAAAGATGTTTAAAATCATTATTTTTAAGAAATTTTTGTTTTCTACACTCCATTCTATTTCAATTACATTCGTTAAAGCATCAATGAAACGCTCTGTTCCTTTATTTTCAAAAAAAAATTTTATTTTAAAATAAACCACTAAAATTATAATAAATAACAATAGTTCGATAATTAAAAAACCTCCTGTTATTGATATAGCAATACCTCTAATACGACTATTTGATGCAAATAATCCAATTACAATACTAAGTAATATAATCACAAAGAGAAGAAAGTAAATTATTTTAAACAATTCTATTTCCTTATCATTTTTAATAGTATTGTTAATAATTATTGCAATAAATGATGTTTCAACAAAAAATATAATAAAAAATTGCAGTAAAACTTCTCTGACAACTTTAGTTATAATCTCCATTTTAGGGGTAACAAAACAATTAAAAAATAAAAAAATAGTTCTATTGTACTTAAATCAAATATAAAACATTTTATTAATTTATTATTTATAAAACTGTATTTTTCTAAATCATGTTAAATTATTTTATTGAAGATTTTATTGTTATTCTTTTTAATATTATTCTTTAAATTTTAAATTTAATTCTTCTGATAGAATTTATATTAGTTAAGATACAGTTTTTAAATAAAACATTCTTTATAAAAAATGTTAAATAATAATGTTTATAAATCTTGTGTAATTGAAAAATCTATAAATATCACTATCATATTCTTTGTTTTCATCAAATTTAATGATAAAAATAACATTTAATCTTAACAAATTAAAATCGATTAAATTTACATTAAAATATATGTTACAAAAGATTTCTGGGTCTTAAAGAGTAAATGTCTTTCTTTTGTTTATTTCGTTGACTTTACTAACTTTCCTTTTTGTCATTTTTTGATAAATAAAAAAAAATTAGTTTAAATAGTTTTCTTTAAAGCCTTAAAATGAATAGTACTTTTGTCTAAAATATTTATTTATAATTTCATCTATACTATACAATAATAAG